CAAAATCAATGGAGTTTCTGATGCTAAATCCTGAGCTGCTGTTGCAGATTCAATTAAAACATTTTTAATTAATTGAAGTTGCGTGTTTCTATTTATTGACTTCTTCAGTTTATGTTTTATGGTAAACTCTTCAACAAATATTCGTAGCTTTTATACGTTTTTTCCACATTTTGATTCCATATGATGTTGATATCTATACGTAATAGTATAGAAGCATGCTGAATTAGATATTTTGCCTCCTTCAAAAGCGGCCATGCTTCGAGACAGGAGTATATTGTTCCTTTTCTATGATTGAACTCCATTCTTTGCAACGGATATGTCTGTTGTCATTTTAATGCGTGCTATATCACGTTTTGGTTTTGTTGCTTGTTCCTTAAGCCAATTTTTTTTCATTTGTTGAGTATCCATTGTTTCATCAAATGGTAACGAAGGCTCATATGCCACGCAACCGTACTTATCGGTTTCAGAACTTTGGAACTTCTTTTCTTTTTCAGCTTCTACTGTTGAAGCAATAGAATTGACCGATTCTTACGTTTTCGTTGCTGTCAATTTGACACGTCGATTATAATGTATTTTAGTGTATAATTGGCAAAATAGCGACTCTGATTCATCTCCTAAAACCGCGCCATCAATTTGATCCAAAAATGGTTGTGGGTATTTGCGTACTATTCGTTGCGCTATCTTTCGAGATGTACTTCTCGATATTGTTTTCAATTGATCAACTTGATATTCCGCGAGAATTGAAATCATAGCACGTCTATGAGCAGGCAGTGGCGTTTTTCCATTTTCGCATGCTTCTATGAGCTGTTTCGGAAATTTGTACCATGGTTCTGTTTCACAGAAATCTGTATGCGTATTGACGCTTACATTCGGATTAGAAACACACTCTATGTCGGATGTTTCTCTAGGAGATACTGTAAAATGAAATATTGTGTGTGTGTGTGTGTGTGTGTGTGCGTGTGCGTGCGTGCGTGCGTGCGTGTGTGCGTGCGTGTGTGTGTGTGTGTATGTGTGTGTATGCATGTATGTGAATAACTTTATTTTGAATATAAGCATTTGTTTGTGAGTATATCTTGTAGAAAGTGCATGACATTATGAAATTAATGATTTCGTTTAATAAAAAATTAATAAATGTTTACTTTTAATTTTTCATACAACTTTCTATAATTTAAAATACGTGTGCATACTTTCACTATTTCTTTTATTTCGTGTAATATATTTTATTATTATACTATTATATATATATTTTACCTTTAGGACAATTCAGCAATATTTCGCCTTCTATTGTTTCGGACTCTTTAGTATTTTTCGAAACATCTTTCTCTTTTGGGTTTACTACCATAGACAAAACATCATCATCTTTTGATTGACTGTCACTTGCAATAAGTATTGGTAAATTTGAATCATGTTCTGCGAATGTATAATAATTTATCATTAAACAAATTATACAACCAAATAATATTTATAATTATATTAATATTAAATTATATTAATATAATATTTATAACATTAATATTAAAAAACAATTTATATTTTTAATCAATGTGATAATTTGTAACATTAAAATTATTATTTATATACCTTCCAAAGTGAGAGGCTGAGTGAGAGATATAATCGGTATATCTTGTTGATCTATTAAATTTTGGTCTAGTACTGTCAATAGCATTTCACTATTTAATCCAGGGCGATCATCGGTATGAAGTCCATCATTTTGGTCACATAAAATTTGTTTTTCGATAAGCGTTACTGTAACCGGCGTAGAGGAATTATCTGACAGGGCTAATAAAACTTCATCATCGTGTATTTCGGTTTTATCTTCTTGTAATACAACCTATAAAAGATTGAAAAAAAATCAATAATATAAAAAAAGGAAAAAAACAATAGTAATATAAACTTCAAGTATATTAGTACGTATTTTACTATTTACCGTATACTCCACGTTTGGAAGTCCTAAACGTTCTACGCTGGCATTAATTAAACTCTTGAGATTATTGCAAACTATTAAAATCTTTCTCTTAAAATCGTGTCCTATGACTTTAAATATGGGCATTTTTACTGAAAGTACAATAAAAGTTCTTATTAAAGTAAATTTTAAAGTAAATTAATATTTAGTTAAATAAATCTGTAAATTACTATTTTTTCATGCATAATAGTTTGAAGTAATAATTAACATACTGGTATTTATTTTCAGTTTCCAGTTCTGTAAAGCATTTTCGTTTATAAATTTAAATACGCTCATTAACCAAGGCATGCTTCAATTTAATACCTTTTAAAATGCCTAACGTATAAATATGAAGAGGAACATGTTTTAACGTATTAATATTTAAGCATTCATATGTCTTATTTTCAGTGAAAATCAATTCATAAAAGCGTAATATGGGATTGAAAGTTGTAATGTTGAAATTTTCTACAACAATGTAAATGTTTATTTCCTTTGCATCTGTTAATATAAGACATATTTTTCCAATCTCGATGCCATATTGGTATTTTTTTTGACGAATAACGACAGCATCTCCAATTTTGTATGAAGTACCTTTAAAAATTACTTTTTCACATTGAAAAATATCAAATTGAATATTAGCATGTTGTGTTGCATTTCTTATTGCATCTGAGTATAGCTCTTCATTATAAATAATTTGTTCTTGCACATCAACTAAATTTCGCAGATTAGAACCCGATCGTAACAGACATTGTAATCGCTCATGTTTTTATACTTAAAGATTGTGTAACATTAATAAAATTTTTTATATTTCGAATTACTCTTTTAAAATACGTATGTTTACTTTCAAATCTCATTGTCCACACTTTAATTAAAGGACCAAAGTGATAAATGAGATAAGGATAATGGCTTAAATAATGGTGTTTAGGACGTAAATTTTTCTTAAATAATTCTGTACGAAAATCCAAATATTCATTAATTATTACTTGTAAATAAGGCAAAAAGGATTTATGAATAATAGGCGCGCATACAATTTCCACGATTTCAGTTAAAAGTAAAAAGCTATACCAAATCGGATCATTAGCGTCTTTAATATCATTGTATACAATAAGTGGCAAAAATCTCAAGAGTGTTCGAATTTCCCAAGCTCCACCAATGATTCTATCACAATTTGATTGTATTTTTACCGGCTTATTTCTAGAGTCTTCAGGTGATAGAGAAAATTTTACAATTTTACAATTTAATTGTTCATACGTAAACCACTTTTTTCGTACTAATTCTTGTACAATGAAATCATAAGCAACAATCCCTTCCATTAAATCGTGACCGAAACATGGAGGTAAACCAGGCTTGTAAACATGAAAACTTTGCAAATTATTGAAAACAGAGTCAAATTTAATGCCATAATTGCCTCTTAGATCATTTATCAGCGCTGTACTTATAGCTGATTTATAGGATACCTCAGTACGTAGTTCAAAAGATTTACATTCATATGATTTGCTTTCATTAGATGTGTGCGTATTTTCAATTTTATTGTTGCATTTATTTTTATATGTAAAAAAATCATCATGCTTTATTAAACAATAACGACAAAAGTATGTTGCAGAACTGAAATTTTCCATAAAATCACCAAGAGCATGACTACCCAGATTATCACCGGCTATGAAAACTAAATCTCCTTTTCTTATATCATTTGGCGTAACCTCAATACCAAACATTTCTAATATTTGTAAATCTTTAACTATCGGACCGTACACTTCATAACATCTTCATTATGATCTCTTCATAACACTTTATTATGATCAAATAAATTTTCCTTCACTAAAGCTACTAATTGGATTGAGTTAATATGTGTCCTTATGTAATCTGGAAGATTACCCAAGTTCATATACACTCCTAAAATTTTATGCTTTGTTCTTGCTAATCCAATAGGATTTACTACTTCAAAACTGTCTTGGTATAATATAACTTTAATTGCTTCAGGATTTATAAAAAATTCATTTTCTTTAAACATTTTACTATCAATAAAATCTTGAAAGACATCTGTGCTACTTGGCAATGATAAATCTAAATATGCTTCTATTGATTTATCTGCATACATTGCCTTTATAGTTTCCAAAATTGGAACGTAGTGAAAAAAAGTTTCTCTACCTTTGGCATCTGTACCTAGTTTTATTTTTTTCGGCAATATATATTTCTTGTTGTGCGTATAATAACTAGTTCTTTTAAACTTATTATTCAAAAGTTTATTATTCTTTACAAACAGATTATTTGAAGTTAAATGTTTACATATTCTATTTATGTTACACTCTGATATGTTCTCCTGTTTTAAAGATTGACGAACATTGTCTAACATATTTTGCCATCCATAATTGTGCATAATCTCCAAATCAATTGCAAGACAATCAATAGTAGATACGGGAATAAGGTACTGGCTTTCAAGCTTTAAATAAAATTGAGAAACATACGTTAAAAATAGTTCGTCTTTATTTTCATCATTTCTATTAGAAACAGTAGAAGACTTATCGGTTGATAACGTATCTATTTCAACTGATAAATTTTCATATTCATCATTAATATTATTGTCTTCAATTAAAAATTGTCTGTTGTCGACTTCTTCATATGTTAAATACCGATTTCGGTGATATTACTTAAATGTCCAGTGAAAGACTGAACATTACCGTATGTCTTGTTACAATTACTATACGGACAATTTGTACAGGGTGTATTTTAAATAGCTTATTAATTATGTAGCGCTATTTTTTATAAAAAATTAAGTCAAATTATAAGTCAAGATATAAATTGTTAAAACATAAATCATCAAATTTACACGTACATCGTTTCTGATGTGCTCTTTAAGATGTTTTAAAAATTCAGAATAATTTTGAAATATTTTCTTACACACAGACACAGTGCAAATTAATTGAGCATTTTGGTCAATGAGACGTATTTTTGACGAAATGCTTTCAGTTTTGATAGACATACGATGTGTGCGAATCATGTGCATTCATAAATCATTTTCTCTTTTAAAAAATTTGCGGCAGTTATTGTATCCACAATAAAATTGATCAGACTTTTGTGAAATTGCTGATGTTGTAGATTATCATTCCAAGAATCGGTTGTATATGTACAAAAATGGCAGTGATACATTCTACAAAAAAATTGAAATTATTGGAACGACAACTACAGTTAAACATATGCAATTGTCGACAGCACAAAAAATGCATTTCTTTAAGGCCCTTACAGTTGTTAATGCTAAGAATTCAAGGACCTTCTAAAAATCATAATAAAAAAAGATGTTATGAAAGGTCTTTGTCGAAAGGTGTTTGTGCTTAAAGAAAGTAAAATGGATATCATCTTTTATAGTTTTTGAAGCGAGCAATCTGATGATACTAGTTAAAATTACGTCGCATAACGGTAACACATAAAAATTGAGTTTAAATCGAGGAAACGCGTGGCCATTCGTAGTAATTAAATAATTCATAAAATAAGTCGCGGAGTGATATATGTTTTAATAGTACACAATGTGATATATCATGTTTCGACATTAAAAGTACAAAAAACATTACGAAAATTTTATATTTAATAGCGAAAATATCAGGCACAACGAACAATTTTCGGGCGCTTGCATAGACGGCGTTGAATGGGAAAAGCTGTCTCGAACACGTTTGTGCAAGTACGAGTTGCATCTGATATATATTTTCGCTAATAAATAGTATTTTTCGAAGTATTTTTGTAAGATATTTTAAATGTCAAGACACGATTATACTGTCATGCATATTATACTATGTATTATCAATGCACATAGCACAGCAACCTGTTTCGCGAGTGTCTGCGACGCGTTTTTCCAATTTAAACTCGATTTTTTATGTGTTTCCGTTAAGTGCGTAATTTTAACTATAACACCTTAGATTGCTTGTCTCAAAAATTATAAAAAAATGTCTATTCTACTTTTCTAGCTAAAAACAACCTTTTCATAACACTTTCTTTCGACTTTAACGAAGCATTTTTTTACAGATTATTCCATAAAAAACATCATTCGGATTTATAAACTAAAAAAAACAAAACACGTTTTATGCAAAAATAATTTAACGAGAAGTACGCTAAAGAAACACGCACTTAAAAATTAGTTTTTAAATGGAAATAATTAAAATTACTTCATGTTTCTCTATTGAAACATTGTGATTACGACAGAGTTCAAATATTCTTATCACTTCGCGAAATTTCTTGAAAAACATAGGCTGCATTCCGTTTCATGCATGATGCGCATGCGTATCATGATATGATACTTGTTTACCAAATGTTAAACAAGGATAAAAGAATAAATCGTGCCCAGAATGCGTGAAACGGAACGCAGCCTATAATCTACGAAACACACAAAAAAATACTGAATTGCAAACATACCTGAATTATCAGCCAATATCTTCTTTGTTATACTTTTACATTAACAGCTCGTAGTCACAGCCAATTCTTATTGTTATTTCTGGCAATATCACGTAAATCACTGTTGCGTAGAACAAATACAAAAGTCGTGCACGACATGCGAGACGATACGGACGGCTCACACACACCCTCATACACACACACACACACACA